TAAAATATTTTAAAAAATAATAATAAATTAAACCAAAAACCGGCTGGGCATGGTGGTGCACTCCTTCAATCCCAGCACTGGGGAGGCAAAGGCAGGTAGATACCTGTGCATTCAAGGCCACATTGGTCTACATAGTGAGTTTCAGCCCAGCAGGGCCAACCGCAGGGAGACCCTGTGTCAAAAAACAACAACAACAAAAAAAAAAAAAAAAAAAAAAAAAAAAAAAAAAAAAGGGTGGATGGGGGGATGGCTATACATGAGGTACATAGCTCAGTCTTCTCACATATGTGAAGGTAACTGTTTCCTTAATCTTTCATCTTCATTCTATTCTGTTAATGCTGTCTGCCTTTCAGAGAGCATGTTTATTGCTGTAAACATATTAGTATTCAATAATAGTAATATTTTATTTAAGCATTATATTGTAGCTCATTTAATGGCCTAGTACACTTTAATTTTTAAAATTCAGATAATATAAACCAGTTAAATCTCATCATTTTGCCCCTAAAAGTTGGAGTTAGTTGGGTTTTTTTTTTTCTTAGTATTACCAGGGACCATCCAGTAAGGTAAACTGATTTATTCAATATAAAAGGATGGTTTTCGTTGAATGAGGTGCATAATTTGAAGGAAACCTTTTTTTTAGAATATGCATTTATGTGTGTTTGTGTGTGAATGTGTGTACACATGTGCATATGGAGGCTGGGGGACATCTTCAGATGGTGTTCTCAAGAACTGCCATCTACCTCCTTTGAGACAGCCTCTCATTGGTCCGGAGCTCACCAGGTAGTTTAGCCTGGCTGGTCAGTGAGCCCAGGAATCCTGTCGCTGCCTCCCAGCACTGGGATTAAAAGCATGCACCACCATGCCCAGCTTTTTACATGGATTCTGGCACTCAATCTCAGGTCCTCATGCTTGCAAGATGGGGGGCCTCATCCGTGATACACTGAGTCTTCCACCTGGTTCAAGAAGCCTTTTTAAAAATTAAGAAATCAGTGTTGGCAATGGTGAAAGATTTCTGTGCTAGGGACAGATTCTTTTCTATTTTTTTTTTTTTTTTTTTTTTTTTTTTTTTTTTTTTTTTTGGTGTGTGTGTGTGTTAGCTGCCATGTGGCTGCTGGAATTTGAACCCGGGTCTTCTGTAAGAACAACCAGTGTTCTTAACCACTGAGCCATCTCTCCAGCCCCCTATACCTTTAATTTTAAAATGCTTGTTTCTGGTCTCAAAGGTCTCTGGAATTGCAGCCCCTTACGTTGCCTCTGGGGAACGATGCGCTGCTAGCTGTGTATAGTAAATAGTCCAGTAGAGAGGCTGCTCCAACCCTCTCTTTCTACTAAGAGAAACCTGCTGTTGGGGAGTATGTTCAGCTGGGCCTGGATCTCCTAATGCCTTGACCACTCTGTAATGGGCCAGTGCCCAGACACAGGGCCAGACTCTAGACACTGGGAACAGGGTCTTTTCTTTTTCTCCTGGGACAGTCATGTAGCATCCAAAGGTGGCACGGTGTTGGGGCGGGGTGTCTCCGTTTCCTTGTGTGAGATACGTCTTCTAGAATCAGTTGGACCGACACCATTGGTATTTGAAAAACCATGAGAATCATGGGGGAGAGTTTGAGTAATGACCCCATCATGGTGCCATTGTTAAGAATTTGAGACACACACGGACACACACACGGACACACATAGCACACACATACAGATGCACACACACACACAGGCACGTGCACACAGACACTTGCAGTGACAGTGGGCTGCCAGCTGCTCAGGGCTGGCTGTGGGCTCCTCTGTGCTCACAACTCAAAGCTTTCTTGGGGATTGCAGCTGCTATGGGGCTTCTCAGAAAGCCACCCACATCCCACTGGACATTCCACGGGTCACAGGTGGGTGGTGGCTGCTCTCAGCTCTTCTCTGCCCCTGAAGGGCTGCCCTTCACAAACTTGAAATACATTTCTTCAGTTTTGATTTATCGCCAGCCCTGGAGGAAGGGGAAGAGAAGATTAAGAAGTAATTTAGTAAAGAGCAGAATCCTTTCCGCTGAAAATCAGTTATTGCCATAGTCACTGTGACACGGGGCTGCTTCTTGGGGAGCAAGGACCGCTCACGAAAAGCAGCTTATTGCTTGACTGTGAGGTTTCAATCCCCTTGCTGGTTGGAGCCAGTACAAGAGGAAACAAACGCCCTCATTTACTGCCTGGATCCAAGCAGGTACTTTGACTGGGCAGCTGAAGGAGAGAAAATGTTCCAAATTGGATGGAGGAAAAATGAGGCCAATCTGGCTCAGAATTTGAGGAATAGAGTTTAATGGCTATAGCTCTGTAGTAACTTTTGAGTAACCTTGGGCAGGTCCTATGCCCTTTCTGGAGCTACAGATGAAAGGGCAGAAACCAGGCTGTCAGTTCCCTCTCTGAGAAGCACAGGGGCTGGGTGAGAACCAGCAGGAACCAGATTTCCAGGATTCTTCCTGGAGGAATCATGTGGGTGTGTAAACCTATGGAGCACAAATTCCTGCCAGGAAAGCCTGTGGTGTTGTTGACACAGTGTGAACTGCTTAATGGCCCCTCTTTGTTCCCTTAATTGTTCTGCGAAAAGGCAAAGAATAACTGATACCAACCCATAGAGCTCCTAGAATGGAAGGGCTTTTGGCTTCCAGGTTACTTGCCTAAATAAATGGCAAAGGTTCCTTCTGTGCTCATCTGACTTTCTGAATGGGACCATCATTCTGCCATTGGAGTTGGCACCCTTGTTAGCAAACAGGAACAAGGACTTCTTCACTCTGAGGCTCTGAGAGTCCTTGTCCTGTCAGTAGGTGGGTGCAGAAGAGATCCTGGTTAAATACTAACCCAGTCAGTGCATTCCCATTATGCTGTGGGACACTGCAAAGGAGTCCCTTTGTGGGGTCTCCAGATTCCTTAGGTGCGACTGGGAATCTCATCTTCCTCCACTTTGTCCTAGTCTGCACTCATCCCTTCAAACAAATCAGATTTTCTTCTCTGGCTTGATTCTAGTAGCTGTGATGTGATTATTCTTCATTTGCCCTTTAAGCATCTGGTGCCTGCGAACGGATGAGTAGAATCATCAGAGCAGGGTTCCCGTGCCCCTTTCTTTGTCTCTAGCACTGTGGTTTGGGTTTTCCTAGCTTGGCTCAAGGCCAGTGACATGACTGTGGCTCCCTGGCCCTTAGCTGACCAAGGCCCTGTAGCTGTGGGGCGCAGAGGCCCCTCGGGTCTAGCTCCTTCATGGGAGATGATTAACCTCCTGACTCAGGACCTTCTCAGTAGACAGCTGCTTTCACCCATATGAACTCATGTTCTAGCTGCTAACTCTCAGAGGTAGTTGGAGTGGTGTGAAGTCCTATTATAAATGTGGTAGCAGGGCCAAGCACGGTGCATGCCTTTTGTTAGATTTTTGGAGAATGAAAGGAAAGACAGAGGAGTAGGAGACAGGAAACCAGAGCCAGACCTGCAGCAGGCAAGGAATAGATCTTCCTGTATTCAAAGAAGACACAGTGAGGGTAGAGGCTGTCCACGGGAACTAGGCTTCTACAACTAGACAAAGAAACCACAGGGTTTTTATATGAAAGTTGTGAGACACAGCTGCACTTTGAGTGCCCAGGTTTAGTGTCCTTGAGGGTCTCTCTTCTCAGACAGGCAGGTCTATAGCACTAAAGGAGACAGGTAGGCTCCACAGTCTCTCTCAGCCCCTGCAGGGAGTGACCAGTTGATAAGGCTTAAGCAAGGCCAGGCTGCTAATTTAGGGCCAGTTAGACACTTTAAGGGATTTATGGCTTTCCTTAATGAGGCTTGTGACTCTTTTGCAGTTCACATATTCTGTCACCTTTAATCCCAGCAGAGGCAGAGGCAGATGGATCTCTGTCAGTTCAATGCCAGTCTGTTCTACACAGTGAGTTCCAGGCCAGCTGGGGCTACAGGGAGACCCTGTCTCAAAATAAAATTTTTTTAAAAAAAGATAAATAATGTGGTAGCAGGCAGTTTTAGGGAGAGGAAAACCTTCCGTAGAGGTCCCAGGAAAGGCACTGACAGGCCACTTTGTTTCTAGTGACCGAAGTGTTGAGGGTCTGTCATTCTGAGGTGGGAAGGGTGCTAGCTTTGGGACAGCAGTTAAGACACAGCTTAGACAACAACCAGTGGGAAAGCGTTCTCCACAGAAAACGCTGAAGATGGAGAGGCCAGAGAAGGAACAGCCTTGGATTTTGTCTTTTTTTTTTTTTTTTAAATTTTATGTGTATGCGTGTATTTATTGCCTGCGTGTTGGTTAGTGCACCCGTGTCATGAATTGCCCGTGGAGCACAGAAGAGGCTGTTGAATCCCCTGGAACTGGAGTTTTGGACAGTTGTCAACTGCCATGTGGGTGCTGGGATTCAAACCCAAGTCTTCTGCAAGAACAGCCAGTGTTCTTAACCACTGAGCCATCTCTCCAGCCCCAAGGATTTTGTCTTTTTTTTTTTTTTTTTTTTGAAGGATAAAATGAGACAAGAAAAAAGGACAGTTCTAGTCAGAGACCGTGTATAGGAATTACTTTAGTCTTTTCTGTTGCTGTAACAAAATACTTGAGTTTGAGTACTTTATCAAGAAAAGAGGTTTAAGCCAGAGAGCCAAGATGAGGTGGCTCCATCTGCTTAGCTTTTGGTGAGGGAACTTCTGGCTGCATCACAGCATGGCCATGCATCACATGGTGGGGCTGAGGGTGGAGGAGGTGGTTCTGCTGTAGTGTGACACTAGTGAATCCCCTGTCCACTGGAACTCCACTCAGGTGGTGATCCTGATGACCACACGACTCTCCACCTCTTCCAAGCTTTGTCTTCTTCCCTTCGTTGAGCACTGGGGGTCAAGTGTTGGCTTGTAAATCTTTGGGACAAACCCAAGCAGGGGGTATGTGACAGCAACTGGCCTCCTCCTCCTCCAGGTGCAGGTGTGGAGGACCGAGAACCTCAGGGTTTTCAGCACCACTCGTCTGAGTGCCCAACGCTCTGGGTTTTTGTCTCCTAGGACCTGGCTATGAGACCCAGGACTCAGGGCAGCACCCTCCCAGCAGAAGGCGAGCATCCGTACGAGCTGCTGCTCACAGCAGAGACCAAGAGGCTGGGGCCTGTGGACGGAAAGACGGAAGGTATGGCCTCCTCACTCCCCACAGGACACGAGGGTCAAAGCTGTGGTGGGAAGGGCTGCCACTGTGTGCTGCTTAGGTTGGGCAGTTGGGTAGAGCCGGCCTTGTCTTCCATGCTTCATGCCTGTAGCCTGTGCCCTAGGAGGGGCGGGGCTTCTGCGCACCCACCAGTGCAGCAAGGAAAAGGTTAGCACCCCAGGTGACAGCCACGGAGCAATGACAGCAAGCACTGCTGCAGAAATTGGCCTGAGCCTGCCCTCAACCTCAGGTCATTGGCGAGGGAAACTAGCCCAGAGCCCTCAGGTCCAGGCTGGCGGTGGGGTGCGGTCTCGTTGTCCTGATGGCAGGGCAAGATGCTGCTAGGCAGAGCTGTGCTGGCAGTTGCCATGGTTTGCTTGTGTTGCCTCCATAACATTGAGTTTCTGGATGTGGATGCCGGCCTGCAGAGGGAGGGTCTGAGGGACCCCTGCCTGGCCTGATGCCCCTGTGCATTCTCAGAGTCCCTTTTCAGTCCCGGCAGGCCCACATCCCCATGAGGTGGGGAAGGGCCCTTCTTTATACCTTGGCCAGTATGGCACTTAGTGTTGCCTCCAGTGGTCCTGTCCAGGTCTCTCCTTCTAGCATGTAGAAGCGTTGTGGCCATCTTCACCCTGGTTGTTTTATTGTTTTACATTGTGTAGTTTCCATTTGTAACTTTTTTTTTTTTTTTTTTGGTCTTTTTGAGACAGGGTCTCCCTGTAGCTCTGGCTAACCTAGAACTCACTATGTAGACCAGGCTGGCCTTGAACTCACAGAGATCCGCCTGCCTCTGCCTCCCAAGTGCTGGGATTAAAGGCGTGTACCACTATGCCCGGCTCCCATTTGTAACTTTTTAAAAAGAAAAATTTATCAGTTTTTGTGCAGTGCCATGAGTTTGGGCAAAAAGAATTGTGTACTTGCCAGACATAATCAAAATATGAAGTTTGATCACATTACATTTTTCCCTTTGTCCCCCCACAGTCCACCCCTCACAGCTCCCTCTCCCTGGCAGCTGTGGTCTGTCCAGTGATTCTGCCTTTTTCTTGTATGTTGGAATCATTCAGTATGTCCCTCTTGTGTACTGCAATGCATCTGAGATCCCTGTGTCAATCACATTAGTAATTTGTTCCTTTTCATTGCTGGGTTACAGCCCATTGTAGAAATACGCTATAGTTTAACTGTTCCCCACGGAAGGGATAGTGGGTTGTTTTCAGTTTCTGACAGTTGCAAGCAAAGCTACCCTAAGTATCTCCACACCGACTTTTGTGTGGACATGAGGTCTCGTTTCTCTAGGACAAATACATAAGAGTAGGGCTTATGGGACCTGACAGCTCATCTTTATAAAGAAGCTGCCAGGCCATGTTCCAGAGTGGTCTGCCCTTCTGGATCCTTCTGTCAGCACTACTGTGCTGCTCCCTACAGTCCTTGGTTGCAGGCCTGTTGAGCTCAGCCACCTAGGAGGGGTGTTGTGATGCTGGTGGGAGCTGGGTTTGCATTTCTCCATTGGAGCATCTGTTTGTGAGGTCACCAGTCACCTGATGGAATGCCTGCTTTCATCTGTGGCTCATTTTAAAAATTGGGTTGTTTCTTTTCTTGTTAATGAGTTGTGAATTCTTCATGTATTTTGGACACAAGTTCTTTTTGTCTTTTTTCTTTTTTGAGACAAGGTCTTGCTCTAGCCCAGGTGGGCCTCAAACTCATGGTCATCCTCCTGCTCCAGCTTCCTAAGTCCTGGGATTACAATGGTGTCCATGCCTGGCTCAACATAAAAGGGTGTTTGATTTTTTTTTTTTTTTTTGCTTTCTTTTATTATGTTTTGCTTGCTTTTTGTTTGTTTGTTTGGGGTGGTTTTTTGGTATTACTATTATAGCCCAGACTAGTCTTGAACTCTCAGTAATGCCCCTGCCTCAGTCTCTTATGTGGTAGACTTGCAGGCCTATGTCACCACGCCCCGCTGAGTTTTTTTATCACAGGCACTTTTCTCTCAATCTGTGACCATCATTGCAATATCTTTTGAAAGCAGAGATTCTTAATTTTGGAGACGTTTAAATCACTTTCTTTTTCAATGGGTAAGGTCACAAATATATATGGGGGGGTGTTGTATATGTGTGTGGTGTATGTACATGTTCATGTGGGTGTGGATGTGGATGCATGTTTGTTTTGTTTTTCCTTTTTTTTTTTTTTTTTTGAGGCAGGGTCTCCCTGTAGCCCCAGCTGTCCTGGAACTCACTATGTAGACCAGGCTGGCCTTGGACTCACAGAGATCCACCTGCCTCTGCCTCCTGAGTGCTGGGATTAAAGGTGTCTGTCACCACGCCCGGCCAGAGTGTCTCCATTTTATTCTTTGGAGACAGAGTCTCTCACTGAACCAGGAGCCCACTGATTCAGCTAGCCTGGCTGGCCGGCCAGTGAACTTTAGGGATCCTCCTGTCTCTGTTCCTCTGACTTAGCTGGGGTGACAGCCATACACCACCACACTGGGAGTTTTTGAGGTGGCCGCTCCAGATCCTAACTCAGGCCGCGTGCTTATTATGGAGACAGTATTTCGGCACTGAGTTATCTCTCTGACCTACGAATCTTCTTTTCTGTAGTATCTTTTACACATTTTCTAGCTTTGAGTTCTATAGTTTGGGAGGAATGAGCCTGTGGTAGGTGGGTTGGTAATCAGAGAGGACTGGATGCTGCTGCCTAAAACAAACCACATGAGCTAGGGGTGTAGCTCACATTTGTAATCCCAGTCCTCAGGAAGCTGAGGCAGGAGCGTTGCTGTGGAGTTGGAGGCCACCCTGGGCTACATAATGCATTCTAGACCAGGCTGGGCCAGTTGTGAGCCCCTGTCTTAAGAAATGATAGAAATAAATTTTGGCAAGCTAGGTACTTAATTTAATGCTGTGTTTGAAGATGGTTCTTCATGAAGGAAGCTTCGTCAGCTTCCAGGAAGGGGTGCTTGCTTTCACATGACTCCTCCGGAACCACTGCTCGTAGCTAGCTCAGTGTTTGGAGGGAAAGGGGAGGGCTAATCCAGCTTCCTGACCGTGGCTGTTTCCTGGTTGCCTGATAGATACTGCCTTTCTGCTCCTTTTTCTTTTTCCTTTTTTTTTTTTTTTTTTTTTTTCCGGTCTTTATGAGACAGGGCTTCCCTGTAGCCCCAGCTGGCCTGGAACTCACTCTGTAGACCAGGCTGGCCTTGAACTCACAGAGATCCACCTGCCTCTGCCTCCCAAGTGCTGGGACTAGAGGCTTGCGCCACCATGCCCGGCTCTGCTCCTTTCTATCCTCATTGTGTTGGGCTGTTGAGAGTGATGTGGACAGTGAGTTTTATTGAACCATAGCTTATACAGCATTCTGACTGGAGCTTTCAGACAAGGGGTGAGGCACTGACTGTGGAAAGAGCCTTGCTGGTTTCTCAGAAGCCTTGCCTGTCCTGTCAGTGAACAGAAACCACTGCCTGGGGTTGGTAGAAGTTAGGCAGTCAGCAGGCTGTGGTGGTTAGTTTGTGCTGAATCCTTTTGCTTCTCCACTAGTTTCGTTATCTTATGTAGCTTTTATGAACTAATCTGTTTTCCAGAGGCTATGTTGATGAGACTGTCAGAGCCTTCAGCCCCCTAGTCTAGAGTGCCTGGAGGACTGCTTTTAAACTGCATTGATGTATACTTGCTGAAAAGGAAAAAGGAAAAGGTTAGAAGAATGAATAGAAGTAATATGCTAAGGCTCTACTGACCTCTTTGCCACTCAGAGCCACCAAAGTGGCTGTCATTCGGAAATGCGAGCTCATGCCACTAGCTGTGTCCTTGCAGGAGGGAGCGGCTGTGAGGTAGTAGCGCTTGGGTTTTGCCCAGAATGGGGTCACAGGTGACAACTTACCCCTGTGTGTACTTCATTTGTCTATAGAGCATGGATCCAGTTTAATCTCGGTCCTTGCTGCTCTACCTCCTCTTCCCAACAGCTGCTGAGTATCCCACCTCTGGTTTATCATCTCCAGTTGGTGGCTGTGTCTCCAGAGTTTCCGTGTTGTAAATTGTGTCACCAGGGCATGTTGTTTGTACACACATTCCAACACACAGGAGTATGTCTTTAAAAGACAGAGTAACAATCAGAGCATTCCTGCTTGTCCGGATCTCCCTGGCAAGCTGATGGCCCTGCCTTACTGGTCAGCACATGCGCTTCTCCTCACACTGTGTTGTCACTGTAAGGTTTGGCACCAAAGAGAAAATGGTGTCTTAAAATGAGCAAATAGCGGGGCTTGAGATGTGGCTCAGCGCTTAAGAAAGTACTTGCTGCTCTTGCAGAAGACCTAAGTTTACTTCCCACCACCCATATCAGGCAGCTCACAACCACTTGTAACTCCAGTTTCAAGGGATACAGTGCCCTCTTCTGGCCTCTGCAGGCACCTGGACACAGGCAGCATACCCTTACACAGACACAAGTAATTAAAATTTTTAGAAAATAAATGTAGCAGTTGGGGAGCTAAAGAGCTAGCTCAGTGTTTGCTTTGCAAGCATGCAGACCTGAGTTCAATCACCAGAACCCACATAAAAATGCTGGCCCAGGGAGCGTGAGCTTACAACCCTAGCACCGGGGAGGCGGAAACAGGAGGATCTCCAGGGCTTGCTGGCCTTCCAGCTGGCCTAACGGTGAGCCCGGTGAGCCAAAGGTTCAGTGAGAGACCCTGTCTCTCACTGAAGTGAGGTGGACACTGCCAGAGCAGTAGAGCCTGACGTTGACCTCTGGCCTGCACGCACATGCATACACATGTATGTGTACCAATATCAGAAGTCACACAAACACATGCGCATATTATCCTAGTTTGGTTTTTCAGTTGATGTGATAAAACATCAGCAAGCTGACCAAAAGCAGCTTGTAGGAGGAAAGGGTTTATTTCATCTTACAGGTTACATAAGTAACCTTGCTTGCTCAGTGACCATTTTTCTATGGTCTGGGCCTTCCTACATCAGTTAGTAATCAAGAAAATACCCCCATAGACA